GTTGACCAGGATGGTCTCAATCTCTTGACCTCGTGATCCACCCGCCTCGGCCTCCCAAAGTGCTGGGATTACAGGCTTGAGCCACCGCGCCCGGCCCATCATCACTTTTTTAAAAATATCCCATTAAAGCAAGGAAGAAACTGAGATTTTAACTTTTTATTTATTTATTCATTCATTTGAGACAAGGTCTTGCTGTTACCCAGGCTGGAGTGCAGTGGCATGATCATAGCTCACAGCCTCAAACTCCCATGCTCAAGCCATCCACCCATATTAGCCTCCTGAGTAGCTGGGGCTACAGGTGAGAACTGCTACATTTGACTAATTTTTACATTTTTTGAAGAGATGAGGTCTCGGTATATTGCCCAGGCTGGTCTCAAACTCCTGGTCCCAAGTGATCCTCCAACTTTAGCCTCCCCAAATGCTGGGATTACAAGTGTGAGCCATCATACCAGCCTTATTTTTTATTTTTGAGACAGAGTCTCACTCTGTCACCCAGGCTGGGCTACAGTAATGATATCTTGCCTCACTGCAACCCCTGCCTCCTGGGTTCAAGCAATTCTTGTGCCTCAGCCTACCAGGTAGCTGGAATTATAGGCGTGTGCTACCATTTTATTTTTAGTAGAAATGGGGTTCCACCATGTTGGTCAGGCTGGTCTCCAACTCCTGACCTCAAGTGATCCGTCCACCTTGGCCTCTCAAAGTGCTGGGATTACAGGCATGAGCCATTGCATCCAACTTTTTTTTTTAAGATTACAACATCAATACATGATAGTTGTAACCAAGATATGGACTGTTCTGCAACTCCAGGAATAAGACTATCAGAAAGAATAGGACAGTGATCTAAGGCTGCTTTCACCTAAGCTTGCCGACATAACTTTCTCCTTCACGAGATAAATCAACTGGATCAGTGGAGATAAGGTAGTTGGCTGTTTTGCTCTTTTTCCGCTTTCTAGCTGCAAGAAGAAACATCTGGGAAAAGAAAAAGTGTCAGTCAAAAATGAATCTGAGAGAACTCGCCCCACCTCTGCCATGGTTGTCCTACCTATTCATTCAGCCAGTGTTTAGCAAGTCCCTAGCATATGTCAAGCTGTTCATCTTGGGTCTTTATCCCTTTTTCTAACTCTCTTATCAGAATTCACTATCAGGTTGTTTTTCCCCATACAATTTTTCTAAATTCACTAGCTTGATTTTCCATATAATTAGTTACAACTTCATCTCTAAAACTTCCAGTTAAAAAAAATCTCCAAAGCTGGGCGAGGTGGCATGAGCCTGTAATCCCAGCTGCTTGGGATGCTGAGGTAGAGGGAACTGGAGTTTAGGAGTTCAAGGCCAGCCTGGGAAACCTTGCAAAATCCCATAAATAAATAAATAAATAAATAATCAATGTTCATCCAATGTCATGATTAAGAGTCTTTCCAACTTTAGGAGAGACAGGATCCTGAATACCTTCTCATT